TAATAGTTAGGGTCAACAAATGTAACTCATTTTGAAGTATTAAAAAAAGAATTAGTTGAGTATTATGTGAATTATGTGAATTTATGTGTTTGATACTTGTTTATAATGATATAATAAATTAAGAATAAAAATAAGCGTCAAAAATAAAATGTTAGATAAACCCAATATCTATGAAGAAAGTTGTAGTGGTCGTGACAAGGATTCTGGAGATATAAAGAACGTTGAAATCTGAGTTAAAACGAAGAAGTTATGACATGTCGAAGTTTTACGGCTAAACCGGCGCGGCACCGCGTAACGTAAAAGGTGAATTTTTGACAAATTACTTTTTAGCCTTAGTGATCTAAACAAAAGTCGTAGCATATGTTAAACCGTTAGGGTGCATAAAAAGAACGTCCAAATCTGACTTTGTATGAGGAAGCTATGAATTTTCTAAGATTTAGCATAGTAGTGCATAGCCCGGAATTCGAATTTTAGATCGATCGATTTTTAGCCGACACAACCTAAATGAGAATTGAAGATCTCATTGATAGGAACTCAACAATAAAAAGACAGTCGAAAACGGAGTCCGTATGTAGAAGATATGAATTTTACACGGTCATTTAACAGTGTAATCTTCTCATACTGTTAAATTTAAAATCGGTCAAAAATTAGCCGATGGAGTCAAAAGGAAAGTTGTAGATCTTGTCAATACCTACGTGTGGATATAAAGAACGTCAAAAACGGAGCTCGTATACGAAAGTTATGATTTTTTTAAGATTGACTGTTTTATCTGTGTCCAGCGCCACGTGTTAGCACCAGGCGAAGCCTTGGTGCCCACGCAAGTCCACTACGTGGATTTAAGTGCCACGACGTGAATCGGCTCCAGACAGCCTATAAATAGAGGCGTAGATCACCCCCAAAACTCACACCAAAACCATTCTTTCTCTCCCATTACCCCCAAAACCTCTCTTCCATTCCCTAGCACTTCCCAAGTGCTAGAGGCGAGTCCCGGAGCGCCCGAAGGCTCCAAGAAAAAGGGTTTTTCGGCTCGGAACTCTGCCCCCGCAAAGTCTGGTTTTGTCGAAGCGAAGCGCTATCCAAGTTGGAATCACCACCTTATCAAGTGAGTGTATAGTTACTTTCATCTTACATATAGATATGAAGTATGTTATATAAATTACGTGCTATGTGTGCATATTATCTGTTTACTTGAGATTCGTGCTAGATGAAAGATCTAAACTTCTTTCTTTCAGATCTGAACTCTTTCTTTCAGATCTGAACTTTTTCTTTCAGATCTAAACTTTTCCTTCAGATCTAAACTTTTTCTTTTTAGATCTAAGACTTTTTCTTCAGATCTGAACTGTATACGTATTTTTTTTTTGTCATATGTAAACCTTTTTCTTCAGATCTAAACTGTATATGTATTTTTTTTGTCAGATCTAAACTTTTTTCTTTCAGATCTAAACTGTATATGTATTTTATACTTTGAGATCTATGTTGGGTGAAAGATTTGAACTTTGTTTTTCAGATCTAGACTATATATGTATTTTATATCTACAAATATGTTGGGTAAAACATGGGTAGATGAAATAGTTGATGTGTGATAAAATAAAATGATGAGAGGCCTCGGTGTTGACGATGATCCAGTCAATTAGTGGAGTATAGATAACGACCACGGACTTTTCTAGACAGTCTAGTGGAACGCTAGCAGGCTCGCAACCAGTAGGTGTTTATTTGAACTCAGTGTTCGCCAGAAGTACTTCATCCCCCTCATGGTTGCCTTATTTGACATAAATTGATGAGGTATCCCCTAAGCAGTGTTGTCGCCCCGATGAAAATCCTTAGGCTAGGTCCCTTATAGTAGATGCCTTAGGGACGTAAAGTGAGGATAACAGGAACGAGTAATCGAGTTGAATGATTTGATGAAAATAATAATAAACTTATTTATTGTGGGTTGAAAACCCTATGTGCTCACTAGGCTCCCCAATCT